TAGATACAAAAGAATCTTAGATAAAAAATTAAAAATTTTGATTAGAAATACTGATAATTTAAATTTGTTATAACTTGGACTTATCATGAGTTTTTTGATTTTTTTTATTCACATGCAATATAACTTATCAATTTCACAACACTAAATTCATATTGTCATTGTTAAATACATCTCCCCTCAAAGACCATGATCATTATAGTCTAGGTCAAGTTGAAGTCTAATCGGATATAATAACATGAATTTATTTTATATTTTGAGGCAATTTAGATCGATAATAAGTAGTTTTGATATTCATCATTCTCTTCATTTGTATTTTTTGACAAAATAATCTTCAATCAGGTGAAAAAATTAAATACATTTAATTTGTGTGTGAAACGTTACAGTTATTTTTTATTTTTTATTTTAATTTCATTCTAATAGCTTATTGAAATTAACTTTCTTCATGCACAGCCTAGTATCTGACATTAAGATGAGAAAATTTCAAAGCTTGTTAAAACTTAAAACTCCACATAATGATAAAGTATATTTCAATGTTTGATACAAAAATAGCTCCAGGATTTAAAAACTTTTTCTCTAAAGTAAATATATTATTCATGTTTTATGTACCATTTATCATATAAACCCCCATCATGTAATTTTCATCTAGTCATGGTAATTATATGATGAATGGCCACACTTGATTTCAGATATCTTGTAATTATGATGTAAACTAAACTTACTGCTATTGTCAGATTTCTTACCATATTGTTTGTATTTCTTCATTTCTGAACTATGTATTTTGCTAAATTTCCATCATCCATTATACGATCTTGGATGATGTTATAATTTTTAATCAAATTGAATGAATTATTTCTAGTTCAAAAGCTCAACATATATACACTGATATACCAATTCCCTTATTCACCGCGTAACTTTGTTGCGTCAATGCACATCACACAATAAATCTCTTTCATCAATCATCTTTTAATATACATCATTCATATATATATATATATATATAAAAGAGTACAATGTGTTTATGATAAGTTTATCATTGTATATCTTCATCCTTAGATCTTGAAGAAAATACATTACAACATAACTTTGTTGGTTTTTTCTTAAGCAAACATTATTGGTAAGATTGTATTTGACCAACAATAGTTGTTGGAAAATATTCAACAATTTAAATTCCATGAAAAAGTTAATTCATGATTTTATTCAATATGCATTGGATAATCACATTGAAATACATGATTAATTTGATTTAATAATAAGTTCTGTAGTTACTATATATTTCTTAATATTTCACATATAAACATTTTCCTCTTAAATTAAACTTCAAAAAATCCATTTAAATCAGTTTTAAAGAATGATTCATCGATTACTAACTCACTTGGAATTTATTATGGACATGTTTTCTATAAATGCTCTGCATTATAGATAAGAAATAATTGCATCAATATTACAATCTTATCGATTTTCAGTTAGAGGTGAACACTATGTAACACATTTACTACAGGCAAAAAATAAAATTGCTAAAAACATATAAAAATTCAAACCAAAGTGAATTTGAACAACATTTCACTATAATAACTAGCTGCTTCACTTCCTCGTTTACACCAGCTTCATGTTGTAATAATCCACCAAAGACTAAAACTGCAGTATAGCAGCAAAAAGGTCAAACCCACAGGGACAAAGGCAACACACAGAGTACAAAGTGTCACGTTTTAACGGACTAGTGAAGAGTTTGAATTCTCATGCGATTATCATTCCCTGAAATATTGCATGTGCTCAACTCGAAGGTCACTCGGAGAACGCACAGTGCAGCGTAGTTCATCCCAACACACACCTGAAACTGGAAAAGCACAACTAAGAGGCCGATTAAGACCTCCACTCAAGGTTCAGGGGGAAAGTTTCTCACGAGTACATTAAGAGGATCTGCAGGAAATGTTTCCCAACTCCGAATTGTTAACTCTGATTGCTAGAGCAGAGCACCCGGGTTGGACTTCCTACTTCGCATGCGGTACCTTTGTCAAACCGAAGTCACTCACACTCGATGAACAACACATTCAACTCACAAAACGCGCAGAGAATACAGGAACCGAATTGAGAAACTCAACTGAAAAAAGATCCAATATCACACCATAACAGTCTATTGACGAGTTTGAATTCTCAGGCACTAGTCATTCCCAGAAATACTGCGGAGGCTACCCCTGAAGTCGCCTCAAGCAGCGTACAACCTGAATTGTTAACCAAGGTTTACTCGAAATAACAAAACTTCACTTTGGCATTTAGGGGGAAAAATCCCGAAGGAGTACAAACAGGAACAATCACCCGAAGGTGTAAGTCCGAACTGCTCAAGTATCTAACCAGTCCACTAACTCTGAACATTCAACAATCACTCCAAAGGTGGAAGTCCGAACTGCTCAAGTATCTAACCAGTGCACTAGCTCTGAACATTCGGCCGAAGTCCTTTAGCTACAAAATGCGGTAACTTCGTCAAGCTGTAGCTCCTCTTGCGCGGTGACAGAACTAAGGACACAAACGCGCAGAGAAAATGAGTTCCTGAACTGCATTTCCGAAACTGGAAAATCCCCAAGGCAAAACGCCTTGAACTACTTTATACTTTCTAAGTCCTAACTAACTAACACTCTACACTTCACTGGCTACGATGCAATCCGCGAACAGATCCTACACCTGAGGAGTTGGCGGTTGCCTGCCTCTTTAACTTACAACCTAGATCTAACCCTAACCCTTAATCTGAATCCTAAACCTACTGTACATAGCCGCCAGCGGTTTTAACAAATTTAGATCCAATATCTGAAAATTTGCAAGCATGCGCGGTCGGCTGAAACTAATGGCTCCATCAAATTTCAGCTCCATCCGACCGTCCATCCCAAAGATATGGGCCCCGCAAGATCTCTAAACCCTAAACCTACTACACTGAGCCGCCAGCGTCTTTAAGAGGTTTGGATCCAAGATCTGCGGCTGAAAATTTGCAGGCATGCGCGGCCGGCTAAGACTAACGATCTTATCAAATTTCAGCTCCATCCAACCGTCCAGAGCGGAGATATGGGCTCCGCAAGATCTCTGATCCAAGGCCAAAATTCCTTCTCCAAAATCTGAGGTCCGGGGGACCCACAAGCCGCTTGAATGTCGTTCCCACGATTATGAATAACGGCCTGCTTCCCACGTGCAACTTTATGCCCCGCCGTTCTGCTTCCCACACTTGACATAATCCCGCCAATTTCCGCCGTCGGGAATCTTCTTCCGCATACCGCTGAAGTCGTCTACCGCCGAAGGCCCTTGGCCCGAAGGCCTTTGCGCCGAAGGCTCCCTTCCGCGTCTTTGCCTATCCATATCAATCACTTTCGACACTCATAACTCAGTGTTACCTTATTTTTTCCAAGAATTCTTGGGCTCGTTAGAACGAGCGTGTCGAGCTCTTTCCAACAAGACCCTAATCAAGTCAACGCGTTACAAATTGAGAAAGTTATCAGGGATTCACTTTACCGCCGAAGTCACTCTTCCACGTGGTACTCTACCACCAAAGTCACTCTTCCACGTGGTACTCTTCCGCCGAAGTCACTCTACCGCCGAAAGAATTCTTCAGCCAAAGGCATTCTTCCGCCAAAGTCACTTTCGACACTCATAACTCATTGATCTCTTATCCGTTCCAAGAGTTCTTGAACTCATTAGAACGAGCGTGTTGAGTTCTCCATCAAGACCTTAACTAATTCAAGGAGTTATGAGTTGAGAAAATTATGAGTGATCTACCGCCGAAAGCGCTTGAAGCGGGTCCTACAACATGAACCGTCCGTTCCGTTCCAAGCGTACAACTGTGGCCTAAGCCCAAAACCCCTTGATTGCACTCAATCCTCTCTTTTCACTCTATTTATTGTATCGATTTCTATTTATAGCTACTACCGCGGTATTTATTATTCAAAAATTTCTAATTATGACGAAAAACAAAAAGTGTGTTATCACACAAGTCCTTTTGAAGACTAGCTTCTTCGATGGTTTTTTTTCTGTTTAACAAGCAGCATATACCAATGATGACAAGCAGGTACTTCAGCGATCCTAGTAACTTCTATTCGAGTGTTATCTTTATGGTGTTTACTTTCCTCTGCTGCCTCTGCATTCCGTACGACTAAATGCAAGCCTCGTAAGAGTTTCCATCGGCATTACGTTACATCTTAGAAAAGAAGGTTGATTCATTGCACCTTTAGACAATGAAATCTAGAGCTTAGTCTAGGACATTCTGCCTGACTGTGTACTAATTGTTGATTTACCATTTGAACAATCCCGGAATGGCGAGTCTGTATGGTGCAAGGATGTTCAAGGTTCCAGTTAGATGGTGCATGTGCAAAGATCAGAATCCAAAATTTCCAAATCTAAAATCTGATCACTCTCCATGACCAGCAAACATCATTCCGATCCCTTCCCTTGCTAATCGAGCGGGCTTATGTGCCTGGATTTTCTTCCTTTAGAACCATTTTGAAGTAATCTTTAAATTTCTTAAGCTCATTGCCATATAGTCCAAGCCATGTTTCTCGAAATTGACCTATCTGTACTTACGAATGTGTCAGCAGCTACTTAGCTGAGTCGAAGTTACATCGAAAACTGATATTAGCAGTGAATTGAGTCATACAAATGAAAATATTGATCGAGAAATGTCTTGAGACCACGATCTCACGAAATTGAACGAAGTTCATTGTTCAAATTGGAGCTCAAAATAGACTACCGACGATGAAAGTCTCCGGTCGAAAGATTAGCACGCAGTCTTGAAATTTGGATCAACGCAAGTACAGCGGATCAGCCATATAAGCAATTGCAGTGGTTTTGAGTCGTATAGAGGCGGCTCGATGCATGACTCATGCCACCTGAGAACACGTGTCACCGAATGATATAAGTAAGATACTACGAGAGTGACACGTCACAGAGTCTGTCTGGTAGACTCGGACCTCCACCTCCTTAAAAACGTACACGTGGAAGATATGATGTTTATGCCAGGTCTACCAGAGGTTCACAATCATCTTCGCACTGCGCCTCGTTTTCCGCTCTACTCTTCAAATGCGATATACTTCGGCTGCGATTCTCGCCCAATTTCACGTCTCGCTCGATCAGAGAGTACCTTCTTAATTTCTGATCGGTGAATCCAAGTTTTGGAAGTTCACAATTTGGAGAATCGACCCGGAGATGATAAGCTTGCGTGCGGTGTTTAGCACCGGGATACTACCTGCTGGGCACACAGATTGGAGAAAAGACGGTGTATTACAAAAGATTGATGCCAGGGTGAATTCATCTGCATCAACTTACAATGCAAGGACGTACGGGCTATCTTCCAGTAGTGTGCGCAGACCTTCATCCGGGTCTGGAGGCTTGCAACATTTCTTCATCCCGAGAGCCGTGGATCAGGTATGGGCCGCAACAATTTTTTCTAATTGGGCCTGATTATGGACATTTCGACGAGATGTTGAGGAAAGCGATCGCGTTCTTACCCTAGAAGTTGTTTCTTACAGAGTGAAGTACAAACAGACGAATACCACTGGAGCAAGGACGTTGATGACAATAATGCCGCAGAAAATGCTGCGGAGATAGCAGAGGATACTATGCAGGGAGTGGCTCGTGTCGGCTCTCGTGGAGATCAAGGGCACCATGTCCAGGTAGTATAAATTGTGGAAATAGAAGAGAGGATTTTGCAGACTGCGTTCAGTGCCGACAACAAACGGAGCTACTTCGTGGTTTGTTTGTTTGGGCTCAAATGTGGACAACGTCGATGTGTCAGGAGAAGGGCAGCGGCAGCGCACTCGAGGCTGTCACGGACTCCGCGAGTCAGGCAGCACAAACAATGCGGAGTAATTTGATGAAAGCAGGAAATTTCGTTGCGGGAAACGATGCTGACGTCACGGAAGATTCTCAAAGCTCCGCAAGGACAGGGACGTTGGAACCACAGGATGATCCAGCCGACACGATGATAGAGAAATTCGACGGGAATTTGGAGGCAGAGGATCTATCAGAATCGGACAGGGATAGTAACAATGCTGCAGAGAAGGTAAAAGAAACTTCAACTGGACTCGCCAACGCTAGACAGAACGAGCGAGGAGAAGATTCCACGGCCCAGGTTGACGAGTTCGGCAGTGATTTTGGGGAGCAAGCCAGGCACTTCCAGGTATGGTGATGAATGGTTTCCTCTTTACCGTTATGGACATTGCTTTCGATGGAGACGAAAAGTCTGTCAGATTCTCTCTAACAATTGGGGTTTGCAAACAGGACAACGTTCAGGAACAAGCACAAGGTTTTGTAGAGAGTATCAAAAGCGGGGCAACGAGAGCATCCGAGCAAGTGCAGGCTGCAGGGAAAGACATTATGTCCAGAGCCGATCATGTGCTGGGACGGTCGACTGATGACGATGAGGAAGACAGCAAAGTCTTGAAACTGAAACCTGAGGACTTCGAAGAAGGTTATATAGAGATTGACGATGGATCAGCCAAGGAGAGCATTCTTTTGTAAAGTACGCTCAACAGGGTGCAAGGGAGATCCTGAAATCCTAAACTCTTTTGATTCAGCTGTCCCTGTTCATTTACTGATATTCTCTCTCCCAAACGTTTTGAAGGTTTGGGTCCTGTCATTTCTGTCTTATACAATCTCCAAAGTTCTGGAAACTTAGAGGGAGGAACAAATATAGTAGAATATAAAGGAATGCATAAATTGCAGCATTCGACTTTTTCATATAGATGTTACTTGGTGCAAAACGATGTCTTGCACCAGTGATTGGTTCCCTTAACGTGCGGTGTACGACTGTACAGATTCGTCAAAGAGCATCTGTTCTACCTCTGTTTATTTATCTCGATTTCGTTTTTTCGGTCTTTCAATTTCGTCACGAAGACGGAGACTGATTGGAGTCCCAAACTGTGCAACGAGGATTTTTTTCCATCACGCATCCAATCACGCATTGACACTTATTCTACTCATGGGCCAAAGTCAATTTGACTATGACACGCGTCAAGATTCCAACTGATCCGGAGACTAAGGTCTGTACATTATGGATCTCCTCTGTCCAAGGAACATGTTACTGTTCATTTTGATTTGATAAAACAATTTCAGATCTTGCTTTAAGTCTCGAAATGGTATCCATCTATTAAGTTGGACGAGAAGCTAGGCTGATACGGGTGTAGATTTAATAACTCCTAGGAGAAGAGAGCGAGTCCTAAGTAAAGAAAAATACAATGTTGCATGCAAGAGCAATTTGAAGTAAAAGTCCGATTTGAAGTTGAAGTGTAAGCGTGTGAACAATTTTTACTTCCAAACCAGACGTGTGGGTACATACTATCAAGTGTGAAAACATGTGAACAGTTCTCTTACAAATCAGATATGTAAACACACACTATTAGATGCGTTAACATGTGAAAAAATTCGATTCTATCTTAGCAATTGGATATGTATTCTATTTATACAACTAATTGGAATTGTTACCAGAAATGTAGGAGATATTATCTTGGAGATCATGTGACTGCTGTCGGACAGCGAGAGAAAATATTGGGACAACAACAAAAGACGAAGTAAACACTCATATCGAATTTTTTTTTTAAAAATAGCATTTCATTGTTATATCATCCTGGCTGGCCCTTTCCAATGAAGAAGGAATATTTACCATATCAAATCCGTGTGCAAAATATTTCCTGTGCACTGACTACATATATGAATCAGCCAGCACCTTCGAGCGCAACTTCCTAACATTATCAGATTGGTAAGGAACATTATCCTCAGCTTGATTCCATCCACTTTGAACTAGGGCAAAGATTTTCTTTCAGATTTATCCAGAAAATTACTTACTCCTACCCCCCTCAACTCGCACCTCCTCACCTCATCAAATGTATTCACTTCCTCATTCTTAAGTGTTTACCTATTAGTAGCATCTCATATCCACGAACTTAGTGACTTGGACAGCAAAGAAAATGTGGGCGTGCCCACTCTAAGGCCTGCAAGCACCTTAAAGTCGGCAATCACGATTGTTTATAAAGGAAGCAGCGAGATACTGTGGAGACAGGTGGTGAACACAGGTGTCGTTACACGCCGCTATACGTGCTGATGAGGACATGAAGTAGAACAGGCTACAGCACCTTCTGAAAACTTCTGAAGGCTTCTGATGTCAGAAGATTAGTGCGGATGCCGTGCAGTCGAAGGCTGGCGCTGCTCCGTCCTCTGAGCTTTCGACCAGAAGTCGTATCCGGATATTTCTGAATCTGCATCGGTATTTAAGATCCGGAAGCCCTCAGTGATGAAACCGTCAATAAAATTAAGTTCATAGCAGATCTACACACACTAAGAGGGCTATTAACAGTCTTCCAGCTGAGAAAATTGTTCATTGGTAAGTTAGAAGTCTTCACAGATTCAAATGGCGAACACGATTTTTGGTTCCTTGCTGTCTCCGTTCGTGCAGACAGTGGCTCTAACTCTGTACGAGAAGGGCCAGGAATTCGAGTCGGTGGTGAGCGACTATAAATCCGCTGAGTATAAGGCCACTCTGAATCCCTTTGGAAAGGTGCCGTCATTCAAGGACCAGGATATAACTTTATACGGTGAGTCATCTCTTCATCTTCAGCTTTTGCTACACCAGTTCCGGGGCAATCGATTTCCATTTTTGATTCGCATGTTCGTCTAGGCTTGTGGACTCAGAATGTCAGGACCCGTGTTCTCTATTTTACCTCAAGGATTTCATTGCGTTTATGGATTGTCCTGATGAGAGAAAAGATGAGAGGTTTCTAGCTTACTGACCAGTAATGGTAGACCTGTATTTCTTAGCAATGCGGATTTTCGTACTCTGTGTTTTGCATTGTTTTCACCAATGCGGAGATTGAGTATGGAAGCTGGATTATGGTAGGCTGTGACGAAGTAAAAACGGTAGAGCTCGAGCTCGAAAGTGAGATGAATTTGTCACCCGAGCAAGGATAGTCGAGCTTGATTGGATTACAGAGTCTTACAATGTCGGATGGTAATGACTGTTGTGGCAGAGTCCAAAGCCATAGCGAGGTATATCGCTAACAAGTACGAGGGTCAGGGTACTCCTCTGTTCGGAACGACACCTCATGAGACAGCGCTCGCGGAGCAGTGGCTAGAAATACATTCCCATCACTTTTTGGCACCCTTGAATGTGATCGGGGAGGAACTCAGGAAGAAAAGTACGGATCCAAACTTCGACTTCACTGTTATGGATACCGCACTGGCGGCTCAAGGGAAAACGCTGGACGTTTACGAAGCACGACTTTCAGAATCCAAGTACCTAGCTGGGGATCACTACACTTTGGCCGATCTCGTCCATCTTCCGATATTTTTTATTTTGACTGTCGTATTAGACGAGGAACGGAGGAAGATCATCACGAACCGGCCCCATCTCAATGCTTGGTTTGAGGATATGAAATCTCGACCTGCTTGGAAGAAGGTGGAACAACCCAGTTCAAGTTACACCAACAATTATTGACATCGATCGATCTAATCCAGTCGCCATTTCCAGTCTCGAAGTGTGTAATTTAGTGGACCACCGAGTCGTTCTAGTGCTTTCGAATTGACAGAATTCTCAGGGCATAGCAGATTGCTCGTCTGCAGAGCTGAGATCTTGAATTAACAGGTCGCTCACGTTTTCAAACATTAACTGTTGCTACCCATTTTGTGCACTCTGTGCTGGAAAGATATACCGAGCAACATTTTGGAAGAATGTTCTCAAGGTGCGCCATTATCACAACCACGTGATTGTATGTTTTCGGCCCCCTTACCCTAAACATCATTCCTCATTTGGATGCCATAGTTCTGAAAAAGGTATGCACATCCCTTCAAATCAGTGCAGTTAGTCAATGTCTCCACGGCCTAAAAATCAAGAGATATTTGACAGTGTTACCCACAGGTCGGAATTGATGCTTATCGGAAGTATATGGCCATGCGTTCTGATTCCTAATTTTTCCAGTGATTGAATCATTCCATCCAGATGCTCCAAACGATATTGAGAGGGGAAAATTGATGCAATATTTTTTCCTGTGGGGTTTTAATCTTTCCTGTGTCTACAGGAAAGAAAATCCGGCAGATGGTCAAGAGTCAAGACCTCGTGGAATGTGCCTCTCCTCCTCGGAAATGTTTACGATTTTTTTTAAATTTACACACTGTAGGTTACACCTTGAACCTCCGAAAAACCTCACAGTATAGGGCAAATTCACTGTGAAAAACAAATTTTGGCCCTCATTCTCTCGTATAAAAATGTCCCATATATTGCATTTACTTCATGTTCCAGATATGAAGACCATGACAAAAAAGGTGGTTTCAACAGAGTTAAAATCTATTCCTCCGTCTTTTGAGAACTTTGCCAGATGATGAAAGCCACCCTGGAAAACACGCTAGAATTTGCTTCACATTTTCTGGAAGCACACAAAGTTCTTAACGCCACGGTTCTCAAAAAACCCTCATTTACGGAAAGAAATCCTTGTAAAATTAGACAGCATGGCCTTAATACAGCTCTCCTCTTCTTCCTCCATCATCACCTGATATTGCTTCCCTTCAACTCAAAACTACATGGCCCGTTTAGCCGAGTTGCATAGTTAGTGGCCTTTGGGGGTGACAATTAAATAGAAATACATAATGTTCCCTGTTGGTATTATTGCCAATAAATAAGTTTTGACACACACGTATCAACCAAAAGACGAAGTGGGCCAGTACAACACGATGTAGGAATTTACATCCAATCAAGATGGATACTCTGCGTTAAAAAATTACTCTAACGCAATCACTAGCTACTCCAGCCTGCCTGCTAGCACAAGCTCCAATCTACGCTTTAAGTGTACTGAAAGTGAACAATGTGAATTATCTGTTGGCAGCAAATAGTTCTACAAAGTCGTAGTTTGTCACGAGTTAGGCTCTATCGTAGAAGGATTGATAATGCTATTAGTGTATGCACAAGCCTAGTGGCTAAGTCCATTAGGCTTGTGCATGATTAGATTGACGCAATCAGGTATTTTTCATATTATTTTACTGAGTATAGAAATACTATAGGTATTACTTTCCTGCAAGCATAATTCTTACTCAATAAGACCTTCAAATTGTATACACATGGGGAAAATGGAAGACCATGCGCAAAACCTCAGAGTGGATCACAACAGAAAGTCAGGTGTCATCGTGAGCACCTACAGCTGATAAGGGGTAGGGTCCATGACATTTGTGAGCCCTGCGTCTATGGTCAAGTTGTGTCCGGTGATGGTGGCAGAGTCTTCGCTACATAAAAAAAGCGCAGCTTTGGCGATATGCATCGTACTGTTGATTTTGTTTTTTAGGTGTGACTTCTGTGCATAATCCTGTTGAAGCTTCTCAAAGTTAGTCTGAACTCCACTCAAGTTGAACAGTTCGACAAGCATGTTCGTTGGGGTATGACCCGGGTGGATGGCATTCACTCGGATGCCGTATTTTCCCAGATGAAAAGCACACACCTTCGTAATACCTGGAATATTTGACTTTGTCATGGAGTAAATTGCTCCGATGTCCTTGCCAGCCATGACTGCAGCTGCGCTTCCCATGTTGAGGATGACTCCTTGGTGGGCAGGAGCCATAACCCGAGCTGCATGCTTGATCCCCGCGACAATTCCACGAACGTTAATGCTGTTGAACTTGTCGTAGACATGCATGTCCATGTCCTTGAGCTCGCCTCCTCCAATCTCAACCTTGTCAATGGCACCGGCGTTGTTAAACATAATGTCTAGCTTGCCATATTCCTTCACAGCAAAGTCCACAGCAGAAGCGATATCGTCCTCTTTAGTCACATCACATTTTCGGAACACTACATTAGGACCGATCTCTTTTGCTATCTTTTCTCCTTCCTCCTTCCTTGTGTCCGTCATGACGACCTGCGCTCCATGAGCTGCGAATAATCTGGCTGCTGCGGAGCCCATTCCCCCTCCTGCTCCAGTGATGATTGCAACCTTCCCTTCTAGCCTGTTCAATACATCGAACTGTCAGTGTGTACAGTGACAAATGCTTGAGTCGTGACTTCTTCTTTATCTTGCAGTACTGCCACGATGTCGAAACTTGCAGCATTTTGCTTCATGATGCTTCCGGTTAAATCTTAGACCGAGTTCACACGTCGTGACACTTCTGCGATCAAGACGTAATGAGGTTTTCTAATTCGCTACCTTTCAACACATGGATTGTATTTTCCTCCGTCTATTTATATCTCACCTCGCATTGAAAGAGTGAGATGATGAGGGCCATATCAGAGAACAACCTTGGAACAGTTGTAAGCCTGAAAACCATCGTCATAATCTGTTTACTAAGGCCGAGGATCTATAGAGAAGATGAAAGACTTACTTTTTCAGCTGTAGTAAACTGGAGTCAGATGGCGACTGCTGCGTGTATGCTCGACGTGAACTCATTGCTGATGGGAGAACAGCATTCGAGAGTTGAGTCATTGCCCTGCAAAAAATAAATCTAAAGGATGAGCTGATGAGGAAGCTTGACATCCACTTCCTAGACCAATTTGCTCCTGGACTGGGTAAGTTTCAATCTGATCGTGAGTATCTCTGCCTCATAGATACTGTGGAGATGAGGAATACAATCATCTGGACCGGCACGTCGAACAAAGAAGAAAAAACATTGATTTTAAAGCACATGACTTCCTATTTCCGGATCTAGTCAGCGAGAAAATACTCAGTTTGCAGTCCGAGAGTTTGGACGAGAGTTAGAAGGAAGCAAAAACGCTCCATCCCTTGTTCACCCTGGACAAAACGAAGAAGCCTTCCGCTTTAATTCCGAAATGCAACAGACTTCGTCCCTAATATCAAAGCAGATCATACCTTCTGCTGATGGTGGCCATACTGTTCTCAAACTAAACCGCTGTAGATTGCAGTATGACGAACGAAAGTCGATAACAAAGGTCGAGTACGGAGCTTGGGAGTACCCTGTGATGCCAAGCGCTAAGCCAAAGATGTGTTGGGTGACAGCAGTTGTATATCGATCTGAGAATATGGAGTGCCTGACTGCGGCGTGATGTATGTTCGGCTTCTATAGTCAAGCATACTGTAGAGTCCGTGGAGGCAGAGAGAGAGAACTTTATGTCATAGCAAAGAACACGTCCCCAAGTAAACCGCATAAATAATAAATAATTGGTGCACATGATCGGGTACATGTCACTCGTGTAGCTACCTTTGGGCTGTCAGAGAAGGTTAAGAGTAAAATTAACGTAACAATCTGTTTACTTTGATCTTTTTGTGAAGTTTTTCTCGTTGTCTTGTATTGTTTCTATACGACGGTGTTCGAGTGCTTTTTTATGTTTGGAGCACGCCTTTTTCTACAGGGACTCATTGATCTAATGCCCATCCCATGTTGATAAGATATTATTTGGAAATGGTATGCATCGGTCTGCTCTGTATATTAGTGCACGCATGTCCATTGGCTAGTGTCCGACATTCCCTATCATTTCAACGACTAGGTTTCATCATCACAACAGCAGCAAGTTTTATGTTTCAGCCCACCTTCTGTGGATAGCTTCTGATGATTTCAAAATTCAACGCTACGCTATTCCGTGGGATTAAAGCTGGATAAACCAAGTCTCGAATACTGAACGGATAGAACAGGTGAACTGGGGATTTGCTACTATGCACTTGTCACTGTGCTTAACAACATTCACTTAAACGTTTCCAACGTTTTGGTCGGTGTTTCAGAACAAAAGAATCGAAAACTCTAGCACGGGATGACTAATTAAATATATCATGCATAATATTTGAAATACCTTGCCGGATGGCGCACGCTTGGCTAAATGGATGTATTGTAATCAGAAGCCCGACACAAGGAGAAGACAAATACAGCCAACTTTAGGGGCCTAACTAGGGGCTAACCAGGCAGCGCTTGAGGCTGGTTAGTTATTATAGTACCCTGCCCCTAAGCAGCCTCTAGCCCAGGGGCCTCGAGCACTTCTGTCTTGTGTGTTGTGCCCCAGTCTCAGAATCGATTTTCAGTGAATAGTAGTCAGGCAGGACAGGTAGTCGATCAATGATGTTGATTCCTCTATCTCTTTATACCAGGTGATCATAGTGTTACGAATGGCACATAATCACATCTTTATTAGATTACTCTCCTCGCATTGAAGAAGGCTATACACTCTTGTTAATTACATCTTACTACATGTGGAAGGCAGAAAGATTTGAAGAGAAAGCGAGGACAGTGGTGAATTCCTACAAAACCATCAAGAGAAAAACGTAAAAATTAAAATAGATGGAAATAACTCATCAAGTCCTGTATCTGTATGGATAAAACCATAGTCGTGACATATCCTATGCCCAATATGATCATGATGAGAAGTATGTCTTAGAGGTCATACGATATCCAAACTCTTTAAATAAACATCACCGAATGTGTTTCATTTAGCACAAACCATCAAATTATTCTCTAATATACCAAACCTCTTCAGCAGAACCAGGAAAATGTGAAAATAGCTGAACTTTTCAATTTCAAAAAGTATATCTCAAGATCTTAAATTAAAATTTTAACCAATAATTTTCTTCGCTTTGCAATGTACTTGTTAACGAATAGACTTTACTATATCAACGCTAAAATCTTACGTATGATAAGAGTGATATTTGAATGTCTCTTATACTGTACTAATCATCGATCTCATGAAACAAATTCCTAGTTCGAAATTCAAACAATGAAGAATGAATGGTAAATGGTAAATGACAAAATTGGTTAAAGACTTTGTCAATAATTATACCGCTTTTCAATGATGATGAAATCACTGGTTTCGGCACCTGATAGACACTCACGATTTGGATGCTCATTGACGAAGTCACCCTATCAAAAAGGTTGCCTAGTAGATAGCCAAAAATTTTGATAGTACTATAGAGCAAAAAGGTTGCCTAGTAGATAGCCAAAAGAATTGATAGCATTATCCAGCATAACGAAAATATATAAACAAAGGATTTGCGCAATTATATTACAATGATTGTACCGTAAAATATTATGACTATTTATTTAAGATTTATCGTGAAAACGTGAATCCAAAATTATTATATTCGATTATTTTCTTATGAATCTCACTAGTTAGTGTTGACTTCTATGCAGTATAATGGAAAAAATCATGATATAAAAAAAAATTGGACACTCTTTCACAAGTAGAAATTGATAACTTGCACCATAAAAAAAGCCCAACAAATCATATATGTCTCTGTATTCAAAGAAATCTTCACAAAAGCTGTTACAGTTCTTTTTTTTTTAGCATGAAAAATCATTTAATCTGACAATTTCAAATGAAAGTTACAAATAAGATTTGAGATCACCATATATCGACATATTTCCGTATTCTTGAACAATATATAAGTATTTTTAAAATTAATGATTAGAAGACATCAAAATTCATATTAAGATTTTTCTCCATGTTCGAACCTTGTGTTCGCTTATACTCTCAAGTGTATATCCAATAATACTACCTTTAGTTGCTTTTCACATAACGATTTCGCATCGAGTCAACTGGTACATGTGAATTAATATTACACTCAATTGATTGGACAAGCAAATGAAAACAATGTCGGTTTTTTTCAAAACAAACGCTTCAAAAGTGCACTGGAAGATATAGACTTAGAAAAAGTCTGTAGCTGTGACATTGGGGACACAAATTAGAAGCAGGGAGAATGCATGGATGAGATTCGAGGAATCTCACACTTTTGTAAAGGCTTTACTCCAAAGCCTAAAGTGCGAGCTGCGGACGGCATAACTTCCTGACAACAAGCTGGAGAACAGGCAGGAGTATGTGCTCTGCCAACCCTTGGGATTCGCAGCTTTCCATGAAAATCTGCGAAGTTCTCATGCACCTGCCTCAGCATCTTCCCACCGCTTTGCTCAAACCCGTCACTACCGATTAAGAATCGACAAACCTCTCACTTGTTGAAATAGCTTGGAGGACAAAGCTTCTGGGGACGGTAGCCATTGCTGACAGCAAGTGGGAGGAAAGGGAAGTCGAGCCTGTGCGCTGTCAAACACTGCAGATTCGCGACTTTCTAGTAATCTGTCAATTCTAACTGAATGCGTTAGTACATCGTCCCACTGTTTGCTTTGCTTTGCTCGACTCTTCGACCATGATTAGTAAAGCGGTGCACTCAGAGCTTGAGCTTCATTGCCTGTGATCTCCGACGATCAAACTCCGCCAAGCATCGCCTTGTGCCGATATTTAACACATCCTCCTATCTCAAGCACCGGGCAATTGTCAACGGAAAGCTTTTCATTTTCTGCCATCATAGCACTCTCTGCCGTTTCTGCGCGTCTTCAATTGTGTTATCGTTATTCGTTCAGGACTTTCCAGTTGCACTTATTAAGACACTAGGATAATATTTAGGAGCTTTCCAGGCAAATGCCCTCGATGGAATTACCGTAGAGGTTCCTTTTCGTATCCTGATCTAACTGAACTTGCTCGGAACAGAGCATCTGTTAGTGACAGTCTGATGCAAACATATCTCTCTTCTTCGAATGACGTACTTATGACAGTGGAAAGTAAAAGTGCGACACATTCGCCAAGGCGAAAAAGTACACTTTCCATTTCATTTGTACATCATCAGCATTTGATAGACTCTCTTCATGATTGCAGTTAGTGGTGATTACTTCGTTTGTTCAGGCTCTAGTTGCAACAGGCATGACTCTCGTGGACGACATGTGGCGTTTGCAAGCTGATAGTATACAGCATGGCGTGTCTGCCGGTTCGTGAGCATCATGCATGCGTTGTGAAGTAATCTTCATTCTTTTTGAAGTCAGTCAACATATATGCAACCTTTCGTTCATCGAAAATTCCGTAATCAGAACCCATTGACGCTGATTTCTCACGCCATCAAAGGAGATCATTTTCATTTTCGTTGAATCGGCTAGGATGGGATGTCTGTGAAATTGTCTTTTGGCCGACAACTAATTTTTCCCAGTGGCATCGGTTTCAGGGACGAACAAAATTTATTGTTTTTGTAACAGATACTCTTGATCGGCCACGCTCGATCTGTTTCATATCAAGAGCTTGACGAGATACTCTGTTCTGGAAAAGTAACCTTTGTAAGAAAATCTCGATAAAAATATCTAAAACTCTCACTTTTGAATGGGAAACAAATAATCATCATACTTTTTTTTGTCTGGCCCAACAACCTCAATAAAAGTTGGAGAAAATTGCTTAGCACAAATAGTTTCTTGGTATCCAACAAATATTATTTTATTTTTATTTATTGCAAGCCGTTATTCATATTCTATTATCCAATAACTTATCATTTTATTTTTACTTACGGGCAAATTTTACCCATGTTCTAGTATTGACCAACTTATCATTTTACCCCTGCTTATGGTAATTTCGTAACACAGATAGTTTACTGGTATCCAACAAATATCATTTTACTTTTATTTATGGCACACCGCCACCCATATTTTAATATCTACCAAATCACTGAAACAAGGAAATTTAAATGATTTAGTAATGCAATTTTTTCTATTGTTGAATTCTCACATCCCATTGTCTTCTACCTAAGAAATAACATATATACAGCATACTACCTTATGAGACTATCAAGGATTTGAGTCATATAGAGCAAACAACCGCAAAACCCTATAATGTCAAGAATGGATGAAACCAAGAGGGCGAGGATAGGGATGGTCCCCAATAACATCACAACGTGAATTCTATACCCCTCCATCTTAAATACATGGATTATATGATAGAAATTTATCGTTTCATTTTAACTGACAGAAAGTTTTGAACAGAAATTGCTTTATCTATATTATACTACGTGATTTATTTATATATATTTATATTGATTGTCACCCATTATGGTTATAATGGAACAAATGTTATAATTAAATGAACGTGGATATTATATGTGTTGAAGGTTAAGCATCCAGACAATGGTGTGTTTGTATACGGAAAGCTAAATATTGGGGCAAAGATGTTATGATAGTAAACCCCATGTATGAGAGTCTCTATACAGTGTAATTGTCGAGACCACTAGTGTGACATAGTTCC